AAGTTTTCCCACAAAGCTTAGTTTGTGAGTATCTAATGATACTTCCTGCTAATATGGCAGGTGCCACAGATATTGCAGTAAATGAAATAATTTGAGGTGGGTCACAGTAGTTTTTTTACTCTTATTTGCATAATAACTTCATGTGTTTATTTAGCTGTTGAAACATTTAAAAATATGTGTATTTTGGGATCTTGGGTCAGTCTGATTTTTATGAGTTCCTAAAAAGCTCAGACTAGCTCCCAGATTCCCTGTTTATGTTAATGGTGTTATCGTCCCTATAGTCACCTACTGAAAACATTTTGTGATCTTTGACTTATTCCTGTTCTTCATTCATTATACTCAGTAAGCAAGTTGTTTATAATCTTTGAAAGGCCATTTACCTCCATCTTGTACTCTCCATTGCTTTTTTTCATTTTTTAAAATTATATTTTATTGATCAATCTATTAGAGTTGATCCAATTTTTCCCCTTTTCTCCTCTCCACCCAGCACTCCCCACTTCCTCAGGCAATCCCCACACTATTGTTCATGTCCATGGGTCATACATGTAAATTCTTTGGCTATTCCATCTCTTGTACTGTACTTTATATCCTCATGGCTATTCTGTAACTACTTATTTGTACTTCTTAATGCCCTCATGCTTCACCCATCACCCCACACCCCACACCCATTATTTTGATCTTCTTTTTCTTAAATAAGTCTCTTTAACATTTCATGTATTAATGGTTTGGTGATGATGAACTCCTTTAGTTTTTTTCTCATCTGGGAAGCTCTTTATCTGCCCTTCAATTCTAAATGATAGCTTTGTTGGGTAGAGCAATCATGGCTGTAGGTCCCTGCTTTTCATGACTGAAGATTTCTTGTCAATTGTTTCTAGCCTGCAAAATTCCTTTTGAGAAAGCAGCTGACAGTCTTATGGGAACTCCCTTGTAAGTAACTAACTGTTTTTCTCTTGCTGCTTTTAAGATTCTCTCTTTATCTTTAACCTCTATTTATGATGTGTCTTGGAGTGGGCCTCCTTGCATCTATCTTGTTTGGGACTCTCTATACTTCCTGCACTTGCATGTCTATTTCCTTCAACAAATTAAGGAAGTTTTCTTTAATTATTTTTTCAAATAGGTTTCCAATTTCTTGTCCATTCTCTTCCTCTTCTGACATCCCTATGATGTGAATGTTGGAATACCTGAAGTTGTCCCAGAGGATGGTTACACTATCTTCATTTTCTGGATTCTTTTTCTTTCTTGTTGTTCTGATTTGTTATCTTCCGCTTCCTTATGTTCCATAGCATTGATTTGATTCTCAGCTTCATCCACTCTACTGTTCTTTCCCTGTAAACTATTCTTTATTTCAATTAATGTATCCTTTGTTTCAGACTGGGTCTTTTTTATGCTGTTGAGGTCCTCACTAAATTCCCTGAGAATCCTCATAAACAGTGTTTTGACCTCTGCGTCTGACAGATCGCTTATCTCCATTTTGTCTAGTTCTTTTTCTGGAATTTTGATCTGTTCTTTCATTTAGGCCGTATTTTTTTTTGTCTCCTCATTTTGGCTGCTTTCCTGTGTTTGTTTCTATGTATCATGTAGACCTGCTATGGTTCTCTGTCTTGGGAGTGTGGCCTAATGTAGTAGGTATCCTGCAGGGTTCAGAGGCACAGGCTCCCCTATCTCCCAAGCTGGATACTCAAGGTGCGCACTTTGTGTGGGCTGAGTACACCCTCCTCTTTCAGTTGAGCTTTGATGGCTATTGGCAGGCCAATAGGAGGGATTTGCCCAAGCCATTCAGCTACAAGGATTGGATGTAACCACTGACCACCAGTCTCTACCCTCCATGGAGGATCTGCCATGTGGGGGCAGGGTGGTGGTGTTCCGACGTGGTCTGTGGATGTGTACTGGGTGTGCTGGCCCTGGGGTTTCCTGGGTGGTACAGGCCAAGGTCAGCCCCCATCTGTGTTGTGCATAGGGCCATCCTGCATGAGCTATAAAACAGTCTGAGATGGCTGCTACCTGTGCTGGACATGAAGATTCCCAGGGGAAGACAAGCTATGAATCTAGGCCAACTGCTTCTAGTACTGCGCCTAGGGCCACTTAACGAGGGGTATGGAGGCTGGGGCTTACAGAGCCTGTTGTTGCTTATTTGACAGGATTGCAAAGTGAGTCAAGACCTGCCATTCATATGAAAAAGTCAGGATTAACAGATTGAGTGGATGCAAAATTTAGGTGGGACAGAGTCTCAGGGAATCTCCAAGGCAGGACAAACAGTGTTAGCCAGGTTGATGAAGTTTCAGATATGACACCTGCCTGCTAGCTCTGTCGCACTGTGTGTGGAGGGCTCAGAAAAGGGACAATGGCCTCTGCCTGCTTTTCTGACTGGGAGAAAGCTGTGCCCCAGCTCCTGCCTTGATACCAGACAATTCAGTTCCTCCCTGTATGCCACTGGTGCCTTTCAAACTGCTACCCTGGTGCTGTAGTGCAGAGGGAGTGAGTCCGAGTAAGTTTGTGTGTGGGTTCTTTAAGAGGAACTGCTTGGGACTCCAGAAGTTTCTTCCACCAATTCAATCCCCACTGGTTTTTGCAGCCATGTTATGGGACTTACCTTACTGGCACTGGAACCCTGGGCTGAGGTGCCCAATGTGAGGCTGGGACTCCTCACTCCTGAGATATTCCTTCTGAATTTTTATCCCCTCCATGTCAATGTGGGACCAGCTGGTCCACATCTGCACCCCTCCTACCAGTATGGATTGATGTGGTCTCTTTAATTCCACGGTTGTCAGATTTCCATACAAGTAGATTTCTGATCTTTCTGGATGATGGTTGTTCTATGTTTTAGCTGTAATTTTGATGTGGTTGGGTGAAGAGGCGAGCCATGTTTACCCATGTCACCATCTTGACTGGAAGTCCATACTCTCCATTCGTATTGCAACAATCTTAGTGCTTATAAAACTTAGTTATCTGTCTGTCTGTGCATACATCTGTCAATCAATCCATCTATCCCTTGTGACTTTCATAACCCTCCTATTTTAAAAAATATTTGAAAGAGAATAACATGGAACACTGCAAAAGTGGATAACTAAGATTAAAATGAAACAGAGTAGGCATAAATCAATTGTCCTCACCTGGAGACGCATTAGAATCAATGGAGAACTTTTGAAAAATACTGATATTCAAAACAACTCACAGATATTTGGATTCACATGGTCTGGAGCGTCCTAGGTGATTCTAATGTGCAACCAAAGTTGAGAACCATGGAACTGAAAATGAGATATTAGAGGTCACTTGATATGATCTGATTATAACCTTTGAAACCCGTGTGTGGCTGTAAAGGCAAAAAGGGATACAGGTATGCTGTGTTAAGCGCATCTCATTGTCTGATAAAATTTTTTTCCCCACAGTTAAATTTTAAATGCAATATATTCAGGTTCTAGTGATGCAGCAATAGATGCCCTTTACTGAATGCTTGCCATATGCTAAGCATTATGCCAGTTAAATGAATTATCTCTTTTAAGTCTCACAACACACCTATGATGTGAGCACATAATTAATCTAATATCACAGGAATCATGGATCTTGATAAACTAAACAAGTTTCTAGCTTTTGAACTCAGGCTATCTAGCTGTAGAACCCTGGTTCTTAACAACTTTAGTGCACTGCCTCATGAATACTGGGCAACACCTCTAGTTAAAGTGTTGCTAAACCCAGAACATGGTGGTCAACATGTAAAATAAAGGCTGAAGATAAATAATTTAACAAGAGCATTTTTCCAAGGTGTTTAGACAATATTTTGCTTTCTAATCATCTAACTTATACGTTAAAACACTGAAACTTTGGGTAGAGTGGGTTGTTATCGTATCTACTAGATTCCCTCAAGTCTTCCCCTGGGAGACTTAGGGAGGCCTGGCCTCTTCCCCAGAGCACCGGCAGGGGCTTGGGGGAAAGTGGGGTGAAGCATAAGGTAAAAAGCTAGGAAGGGCTCCCTGTCTGAGGTGCTAGGCCTAGACAATGTGAGGAATGTGGCTTGCACTAACAAGAGGACCTTCTGCACTTAAGGGAAGCTCAAATGGATGAAGCTGTGTGGTTTCAGAGGCAAGGTCAGAAACAGATTCAGAAATGTGTGTTTTTGTAATGACAGCATTGATAATAACCTCTCATGATACCATGACATAATGAAGTTTCAGAGGTCTGAGTTGGATGCCAGCCCTCTCACGTACTAACTGCGTGATGCTGAGCAGGGCACTGTGAGCTGCGGTTTCCTCACTGTAGAGGAAAGGTGATCGCGGGGACCTAAAGTGGTTGGGAGGACTACATCACACACCGAACGGAAATTGTCTGTCATGGGAAAGAGCTATAGCAGGCACTCAGTAAGTGAATTCTATTACTGAAAATTGAAAACCCCTATCACTTTTTATTGTATTTTATTTCTATTTCTCCTTTATTCAGACCAGAAAGATAATTTTAAATTTTCTTTACACTTTCTTGAGGTTAGCTATATTTGCTAATGAAAAGTTAGTAGATATCATATTAACAAATAATTTCTGATTTATTTGGTAATTATCTAGATCATAAAAAATAGTAAAACAAGACAAATTACTTTCAACTTTGGGCTGGGAATCAGGAGAAGGAGGAAGGGCAGGCGAGAGATTCCTTAGATTGCTGGTGGACTTTGCTTCAGGACAGGTGTGGCTGAAAGCAGACTACTGTGAATTAACCAGGAGTCAGAACATCAAGATCAAACTTTATTTCACCCAGAAACAGAGTGATAAAATGGCATTCTTCTCAGTTGCATTCTCTCCCACATTCTTGTCCTTCCACACAGGGCTGCTGACAGGTTGGCTGTTGGGGCTATTGTGCCAGGCATGGAGATTCTGCCCACTGGTTAAGAGACTTCACTCTGAGACGTTGGCTCTGCCCCTGCCTCCAGAGGTCGGCGCTTGTATTCACAATAACTTAGATCCTTCTGTAAGTATAGTAAAGTCCCATTAATCTGATGTTATCATTCATTAAGAGAAGAGTGAAGCACCAGTTGGCAAAATGAAACTTTTTCCTAGCATCGTTGGTTCTTTATTGGAAAGTTCAGCTAATATTTGAAATGAAATAAACACTCAGAGACTCACATCATCCCATAAATGGAAGAAACAGTGAAACATGCATCCAGAGGCAACTGTGTTGACTAAAGCCCTACGTTGTTTCCCCAGGCAAAACGCAGCAAGGATTATAAAGTATGTGCCTCCCTCACATTAAAGCAATGAAAGACAATCATGTGCTTTTTTGCAAAAACCAGCACTTTCCAATGTTGTAGAAAAGATGATGTGATGGAAAAGTGTGGGTAGAGAGGCAATTCCTCCTGAAATTTCTGAACAAATGTTGTACCACATCTCATGGTATTCCCTTGTCAATTATATAAAAAAAAAGATTTCCTTCGCGAGCCTGCCTCTACACTACTTCCTCTGCTTTCCATTCTTACGGTTCATCTCACAGCTGCTGAAAACTAAGGATTACTCCTTCTGGCCTCAGCAACAAGTAAACAAACAGAAAATTCCTCTTTGAAAGCCTTGTCGCAAAGAGTAGTTAATGAGGACACAGAAATTATTGATTTAGGAGAAACACTCTCACTCAGAAAGAGAATTATGAGAATAACTGTCAAGTGGGAGTGACTATTTGCTATAACTAGCCCCTTTGGGAAACAGGAAGTCAATTAGTTTACTTCCCCGTGTCCTCCCTGTGACCAATGTTTTCTTGTTTGTTCCTCCTTGACTTCTAGTGGTTTTTATTACTATTTTCCCCTACTCAGAAGTTCAGCATTCTGCCTCTTGACTTTCCTTTACTTCACTGGTGTTCGGGGATCAGCTGCCACAGTGTTTTCAAAATGGCAAGATTCTTTGTATGAAGATCGATATCATTCTATGGTACACGTTATTAGAAAGGCAAATTGCGGTAGGACACAAGGTACATTCGTTTGCCCATTGTCTGTGCTAGTTAAGAAAACTTGTGAGGAGGACTCAGAAAGGGTCTAGAATCCCGCACGCGGTTTTATGCTGTCCATCGGAACTGATGGTGTCCCCACTGGGAGTCTCACCACTTCTCTCTAGGCTGTTCTGAAGCTCCATGGTTTTTGGTGCGTTATAATGGGATATTTGGACAATGGGGAGAGGGGGCGATACAGTGTTAAAGAAACCCCCATGGCTGCGTACATTAATAAAAAGCATCAGAGAGATCGAAATCATGAAAGTCTTTCCTTTCCACAGTTGGATTCATTCCATTAAGTGGCTTCCAGGGGCGTCCAGGACATTTGGGGGAGTTTGTTTCTGGAAAATCAGGTATCAGTTTAAACGAAAGGATATTTGGCTCTATCTGGACTTCAGGGATCCAGGCATCATCATTCTGTGTGGGAGTTGGTGGTATACTAGTCATCAGAGCTGCAATGAGATCTAAGTCCTGAAAGTCAGAAAAGGTAACTGCTACACCTGGCTGGGCTAGGGAAGGGAGGCGCGTTGGCCTTCCTGTCTTTTCGTGTATCTGTGCAGATGTAGTACTATCTTCAGAAGAACTTGCCCAATGCATTGTTCTCCGATCATTGTGCCTCCCATGCTTTTTTTCTTTATGTTTACGTTTTCCATGGCCGCGACCATGCTCATATTTATGTCCATGGGCTAGGCCATGTTTTGTTTGCTTTCCATGGCCCCAGCCATGTTCCCGAGTAGGTCCTTGTTTTTTTTCTGAATCCTGCTCTTCATCTTGTATAGGTGCCATGGAAGTGTGGGGTGGACTTACAGTTGCTACAGCCTTTGTTTTCTCCACTTGTACTGCTCGGAAAGGTGAGAAACCTGGAGGTCTTCTCAGCATTAAGACCTGAACAGGAAATATTAAGACAAATGCATTATTGTCAAAATCACACTATCCATGAAGTAAGGAGGAACTCAAACCTGGCATTGCTATCTTGGTTAACAATGGAGCAAGTCTTTGCCAGGTTTTAAATACTATATTAATATTGTAGAAAGGATCAGAATGTATTTTAATTCATTTTATAATTTATGGATATTGATTATTGTTCTGAATAACATTCCACTGAGCTGGAGAGTTGTTTTCTTCACCTGGAATAAATGGAAGCTAGAACTACAGAATCTCTAGGATTCCTTCCTGGAGATAATCATAGGCCTAGAGATAAGCCTATGATTATGTAAAGCCATGGCACATTATTTGTTAATTACTACTATTTCTATTAGCACAATTGCTGTTTTTATTTTACAAGACTCTAGATGGCTTTAAGATGTGAAAACATATGAAGCAGATAATCCACAATAACTTGGTAGGCGAATCACATTAGGTCATGTTCACAAACTTAAAACACAACCTTTATGTAAAGTTTGTGTTAGACTACCTACATACCTACACTTGGCAAAACCTAAATCAGGACCGGCAACCCTTTGGTTTGCAGGCCAGCGCTAGTCCACTGAGTCACACCTGCCATGGCACTGCTTTTATTTTAAAAGGCTCTAAATGGCTTTAAGAACTGCATATACATGAAGTAGATATCCACAGTCACTTTGTCGGGCTGAAACACATTAGAACATGTTCACAAACTTGAAACGCAGCCTTTGTATAATGTTTGCGTTAGACTACATACATGCCTACACTTAGCAAAAACCTAAATCAGAAAAAAGGGAGAAGAGGCAACTTCCACGGAAGATATGGGTTATTTCTTCCTGCACTTTCACTGGTAGCAAGAACATGGTGGCTGGAGGCAGTGTTCCGTGGTGCAAAGAGCATGGTCTTTAGAGTCAAACAAGCCAGACCCTAGTTATCAGCATCATGTGAACGTGAAGGGCTCTGATTTGATCTAGACTTGCATCTCAGTGCCACTAGCTTCACTTTTCCCATCCCTAAAAAAGGAATACCAACAATCTCATAGAGCTGGGAGGAGAAAAATAAGTGTGAAATCCTCAGCACAGTGCCTGGGACACAGGAAGCACTTGTTGATGATATCAGTCTCTCTGGGATCTCAGCATCTTTGTAATTTTTGGCGTCTCGCTCTTGACAATAGGAAAAGTATTACTTACCTGCAAGGGTCTCTTAAGAGTTAGGAAAGATGATACAAACTAATGCTTCTCAGACTTGAACGTGGGTATGCATCCCCTGGGGATCATGTTAAAATGCAGGTGCGGATCCAGCAATGTGGAGTGGAGTCTGGGATCTGCACTTCTCCCAAGCTCCTTGCATGTAAGCAGATGCCAAAGGAGCATCTCAGGCACACCTTGAAGCTGCATAGCTAGTGTCAGCTGTCCTCAGCAGGGGCTGCGCTTCACTAAGAGAGAGCCTGCTGAAGCATCGAACACTGACAATGTGTGGTAAGTGACTAAGGGGACTGCTCTTTTCCCTTCTAGTCATCAAAAAGAGAGGCCAGCAAGGAAATGTGAGAGTTCTCCCCGTTTTAAAATTGTCCTCCAATATATTTAAATAATGGTTCATTTTTAACCCCAAAATAGAGCTTTTCAGAATGATCAAAATTTAACCAAGGTGACTGTAATTAGAACCATACCGTTTTTTGTGGTTGACACTTGATAGTAGATTCAGTTTTGTTCAACCATGGTACCACAATAACATCAGCAGTGCATCTTAGAATTTCCTGTCCATAAAAACAAAAGTGAATGAGAGAACAGTGGTATTCATGAATCTCTTAAACAAATTTAAAACATCAAGTAGATTTCCAGGGAATAAATAGAGAGTTGCATTACTACGCACTCCAAGTAAATTGATCTCGCAGTCTTCAGTCAACTCCTTATCACTCTCCTTGGAACATTTAGTTTCCCTGGCCATGAACTCAATGGAATAAAGTGTTCCAGCCACCACCTGGAAAATAAATTAGCACAAAGTAGCTGCTTTATTAATATTATATAATAAATCATATGTTTTATACCATAAGGGGTCTTGAGGGAGAATATTAAAATTTTAATTACACACTGACCAGTTGAGAGTTATACAGAAAAAGCACAAATGTTTGACAAGTAAATTTTAGTTTGTATGCCTATGTGAAATATTTGGCTGCTGGTTGATCTTGTTTCCTTTTCTACATGGGGAAAGAAAGAGCAGGCTATAATTTTTGTTTTTATACTTTTCTGAGTTTTATTGTTCAATAGCTAAAAAATTCATTAGTCGTTCAAGAGCTCAAGTTGAAATAGAATCTATGAAGTGTAGGATGAAAAACATTTTCTTTAACTTTCCCTTATTGCCCTGCCAAATCTTGAAACAGAGAAATACTGAGTTAGTGTCACTATAGAAATTATGTGGGTTAACTGAACCCACATAATTTAGAAAATGATTTTTGTGATTACATGTGATTAGAAAAATTATTTTTATTTTTCAGTTTGATTCTCTTAATTTTCTTTATATTAAGAAACTATTTCAATCTTTAGCAACATTTTTCATCATTATACAATGTTGTCACCACAAATAACATTTGGTGGCCCAATTTATTTTTTTCTAGAATAGTCACATTTTATTTATTTAAAAAATTAAACTCAAGATTGAAAAAAAATTTTTCCTTCTATTTTATTTTTTAAAACTCATGTTTTAAAAATACTTTGAGGTCAACAATATCACAAATGTAGTTTTTAAAAAGTCATTTTAAAATGCCACATCTTATGTCTCTTACAATTGAAAAATATACTTGGTAAAAAGGACTTAAAATTACACGTTAAAAAGTTATTTGATATGGCCCAATTTCTAGACCAAGTTATTCAGTACCTAATTCTAAATTAAATGTGTATGTGTGTATGTGTTTATAGGATTATATCCATAGCTACAGAATACATCGATATATCTGTTGAATTGGAGAGATGACCACTATTAAAAAAAATAAAATCACAGGGTCAGGATATAACCTCATTTGAAATGACAACCACAGCAGTCTTCCCTGTCTCTTTGTGTTTTTTAAAAGCATGGAGAAAGTGTGGTGGGAGGAGGAACAGAGGAGCAAGGGAACAGAGTCACAGGAAGACCCAAGCTCCCCTCTGGAGTTGTTTTGCTGAGTAATCATGGTTAAATTTTTAATAAAAATTCCATAGTTAACTTTTAAAACTCCAAGTGTATGTGTGGAAATGGGGGAAAAGGCTCTAAGAAAGTTTTAGAGTCTGTATTTTTGTGATCATAAGTTTTCTTGCTCATTTCAGAATACATCTTAATCCAATTTTTTAAATAATAATGTTGATTAAGGTAATGTTGCCTATGAAACCTATTAACATGTGACACAAGCCACAACTGATGGTTCAACTCTATTCAAGAGCCAGAAGAAGAAATTAAGTTGATGTAAATCTTCTGTGCTAGGTCCTCAAGATCATATCCATAATGCCATTATCAGGTGTCATTTCGTTTTTTATTGTGTTTTTCATTTACTATTTGTCCCCCTGATAACCCTCTGTCCCCTGCAATCACCACACTGTTGTCCATGTCCGTAAAACCTTTTTCCCTTTTGCTCAATCCCCCTACCCGCAAAGCTGTCAGCCTGTTCTCTACTTATGAGCCTGTCTCTATTTTTCTTGTTAGTTCAGTTTCTTCATTACATTCCACATATGAGTGAAACCATATGGTATTTGTCTTTCTCTGACTGGCTTATTTCCCTTAGCATAATGTTCTCCAGGTCCATCCATGCTGTTTCAAAGGGTAAAATTTTCTTCTTTCTCATACCTGAGTAGTATGCCATTGTGTAAATGTCCCACAGTTGTTTCATCTACTCATCTACTGATGGACACTTGGCCTGCCTCCATATCTTGGTGATTGTAAATAAGGCTGCAATGAACATAGGGGCGCTTATGTTCATTTGAATTAGTGTTCTGGATTACGTCTAATAAATTCCCAGAATTGGTATCACTGGATCTATAGGCAGGTCCATTTTTAATTTTTTGAGGTATCTCAATACTGCTTTCCACAGTGTGTGCACCAATTTGCATTCCCACTAACAGTGTGCGAGGGTTCCCTTTTCTCATTCAGCCTTAATCACTGTTGGTAGGAATAGAACTCCAATCAAGGTGACCAATGTCTTATACCCAGGTGGTATGAATGTAAATTGGCATAATTGCAAATAGCTTGGTGATATGCATCACAAGTCTTGACATAGAGATAAGCCATCATATTTCCAGTACTTCCTTTTTTAAAAAAATATGAATATGTACATACTCTTGAACTATAATCATCTGAGCAAAGACAGGGAGCAATATGAGCAACAGCAAGGACAGGGGCAGTAGAGCTAGGGCAAAATAAATGGTCTGTGACAGACATTGCAATTATTCACATGTGCGAACAGAGGATTTAAGAAATATTTGGTATATGAAATATGAAACCAACTTGAAATAGACATGCATCCAAATAGGACTCAATATGCAAAGCCAACACAAAACTAAATCTGTAACATAAATCCTTAGCAATTTGGAGATTGGCTTTTGGCAAATTCATCATATGGTAAATGGATTTCCAGTTGCTTGGCTACTTCCATCAGGGCTTCCTCGAATGACCATGTCAGACAGTCAAATTGCTCTCTTTAAATGCAAGAATCAGTGCAGATTCATCTCATGAGAAAGTTTGAGATTCTCACGTAGTCCAGATTTGGTAAGTGAAGGAATGTCAGTTCCCTTCAATTCACAGCATTACCTGTCGTGTCGTTGCTCCCCTGGCATCACACACGCACACACGCATACACATCCATGTGCTAGAAGGTGGATTAGTTCATTTACAGAGAGCTCTAAGTACTAAGAGGATAGACAGCCATGTTTGAGAGTGAGTCGTTCTCTCCTGACAGCAAACCTCTGACATGCAATGTACAGCGGAGTACTAGACTATTCCTGCATCATGAAGAATAAGAGAATTTCACAAGAAAGCAGAAGAAAAGCCAACAAACCCAAGAGTAGCCTGCATGGGTGTACCCTGTGAGAAGCCTGACGTGGATCAAGTGCCAGGGAAATGAGGGAGAAAAGGTTGTGGTGTTTGGGACAGGAATCAGAGCCTGAGTAGGAGAGAGGGCAGAGTGTCATTTTTGAGTATTTTAATGCCATTTGCTTTTCTTTTTCCCCAGTAGCACGACTACTACAGGAAATTAGAAGATGAAACTCAACAGCCCATTGTGCCATCACCTAAAGCCACCACTGTGCATAGCTGGAGGCATTTGTGTCTTTTCAGCAGGAGTTTCTGTAGTGTTTTATAACACAATTGACAACAGAATGTACATTCAGTTGATGGCCGTTTTTATTTTGTTCACTGTATGTTTAACACAAGGCATTTACCACATCAAGAAAGCCTCACAAAGATGCTTTATGATTGCAGCTTGATATTCTAGTCTACATTATTAATCAATTTGATAGTTCATCATTTCTTCTTTTATAGTTAGTGCTGCAATGAATATCATTGTCTATAAAGACTCTGTTTTAGATTTCTAGAAATTCAATTACTGAGCCAAAAATGTGAGCATTTTTGGGAGAAGGTGTCTTTTTCCCCTTTCAGATTACAAAGCATGTTGGTTTGCTCTAAGATTTTCATTCTATTTTGATTACTTTTCTTTAGCTCATAATTAGGGGGGCCAGGTTTGAAGTTTATAATAGGAATGTGTCCTTGAATAGAAGAGTCCTACAGCATTGGAGTTGGAAGCCGTTTGGACTTGTCTCACCCAGCCACTCAGTGTCCACACGGGAGCACAGAGACTGAGAGAGTGCGAATGACTGCGCAGGGTTGCCCCTCAGGACACGAGGGGCAGATACTGCACTAGAACTGGGCCTCCGGACCCCCAGGCAGGGCTCTTCTTGTCCTCTGCTAGCAGGGCATGCAAGGGAAGACGAATCCTCAGAGGGAACATGTGTGGGCTGGAAGGACACCCAGGCAGGGGGGAAATGACATGGAGGGGAGAGAGTGAAGACTCTGGGTGATGACAGACTGACCGATGTGGCTGAGCCCAAGGCCCTAAGTGATGCTACGTAAGAAACGAGACTGGAAAGGCAGCACGTAAGTCCTGCTCTTCGTAGAAAAAGCCCTACCTTTTATTAATTATGTAATAGTTGCTAGAGTTTATATAACACTTTCGAGTTTGAAAAGATAGTGTACTGACATATATTATCTTATTTGATCCTCACACCTGTCCTTTACAGACAGAAAACGAAAAGAATGTCCTCAATGATTTGTCCAAGATCACACAGCAAGCATGCACTGAGGCTGGGACTTGAAATTCAACTTCCTTTCATGAGGTATAATACTGTTTCCCAACCCAGAGCCAAGATTCCTGGCATATTAGTAAACAATTTGCACACAGACTACAATATCACTGTTTTTATAGCATAATTTACACACCTGTACTGTTGCTTTCTTCACAGTATAAATCTTGAAATAGAAAGTTCCGTTATTCTCTGCATTAAGCTTTGCGATGGAATGATTCAGGTGCTCCGCCAGCTCTGGGCTGTCCACAGGTATCTCTTTGGGGGCGCCAATCAAACGATATCTAATACCCTTCCCTGGAAGAATCAGGTTTTCAGTCAGCATGCGGCAGAAGGAGCAGTCTAGCTCAGGACCTCTTCTGCACATGGTCCAGCATCCAGCACGCATTTACAGAGGGCCATGTGGCAGCCCCAAAGCCCAGTAGCGAGTGGGTGGAGGTTGTCTTTCTCACCCTCCTCTCACTGCCTGGCCTCCTCTCCTCTCCTCAGAGTCAAGTGTATTTAGGAAAACCTTCAATTGGAAGGTGTTAGTTTGTGTCTCATTCAATATGCTGCATTTCTGTTTTTGCATTTTTGATAGAAAATGTAAAAAAGCAATTTTTATTGTAAAAGGAATGACTGTCTAGTGGGAAAATTGTAAGTCCTATGATTCTGGTGATCAGGGAGTTTCAACAATGTAGCTTATAGTGGAAGTTAAGCAAATATCTTCCAAGTATGAGAAAAACCAATACATGATATAAGAAATACTGGCTTCACCATAAACTCACACTATTTCTCTTATCCCCTGTTATAACATGCAGGAGAAAATAGTCTTTAATTGAACGGATTTCATTCTGAGTGATGAAAAATGAGATACTGTTTCCCCAATTTACAACATCTGATAGGGACATCTTTTATGCAAGGAAGACTAGCTGACAATGTATCAGAAGTCTGCCTTTGCTCAAAGAACAGAAATCTTTTCTTCTGTCACCATATTCCCTTCTGGCACTTGCAGAGCAGTTTCAACTGTATCTGTTATAGCACAGCCGTGCAGAGGTGGGGTGCAATGTCCTCAGAAAGGTCTATTGATCATATATAGATTTTGTGGCATATCATGGGACCCAAAGCACAATGTCTATGAAAAGACCTAGCCAGTTCTTGGGATCAACATGTACTGTACTAGAGGACAAACATATTTTATCCCATACCTGGATGAAAATTACAGTCCTGTGACAAGGAAGAAATTCTTAACTGAAGATCCAAGTGTAGATGATCTGTGCATTCACCGGCATCCTAGTTTTTAATAAGTATATAAGTGTATAAGTTAAAAACATTTTAAAGAAACTTTTAAGAGTACAACTAGTTAAAATAAATATAGGATGTCAACTTTACATTCAAAACAAAACATAATCCTATTGCTAAAGAGATAATAAGAAACACTTAGCTATGAGCATCAACAATAAATGCACATACACAAACACATAGAAACATGAAATAAGAGGATAAGAACACCTAATATAGGAATAATAATCAAATAATTGAGAGGGTAAAATTTTTTTAAAAAGGTATATACTTCAGATTATGTTAAAAACAAAATTAATGTACTACATATTCAAGAAGAGTATCTTGTAATATGAAAGATAAATGAAGATTAAACATAATGGATGAGCAAAGCTATATGAGGCAAATATAAACAAAAAAGAAGCTAGAGTATTATTCATATTGGACAAAGTAAAATCCAAGGTAACAAAAAATTCATAATGGTAGTAAAAAATATTTTTATTTTAACAAAATATAGAAAGATATAGCCTAGAAACATGAAGCCAAAATACATAAAGCAAAAATTAGATATGTATGAATGGAAATAGATTAAAATAATGGTAGTGGAGAAATTTAACATACAACTATAAATCTAAGATAGTCCAAGTAGATAAAAAAATAAATAAGGTCACAGAAGACTGGAGTAACATAATAGTTTATTTAAGTGATATTTTCATATGATATATATGATTTAAATATTTTGATAAGTATGATACAGATTTTTTTAAATAGCTTTTTATATTATTTTACAAAAAAGGGTCAATAAATTTTCAAATACAAACAATACACGCCGTTTTTTGACCTGAGAAACAAAAAGAAAAAATCTCTAAAATTTAATAAGTTTAAACAAATAAACAAAAACTACTTTGAAATCTAAACACATCTGGCAAAATAGTTAGGGTCTTCCTTAAAAGAGGAAAAATATAAAAAAAAAAAACAAGAAGAACAAAAATTGTACAAAATGTTGCCAGAACAGCATTTAGAGTTTAAATCATTATTTTATATGCTTTTGAAATTTAAAAAGAGAGAAGCTAAAATAAAATTTAATTTAATTTAATTTATTAAAAAAGGTAGAAAAGAAGCCAATAAAATTACCTCACATCTGGGTGTTTATCTAAAGAAGTTAGAAAAAGGAAAAAAATAATAAATAGCCTTAAGCAAACAAAAAGGTAGGAAAAATAAGGCAAAACTGATGAACTAGAAAACAGAAAGCACTAGCATTAATAAATGAGTACAAATGATTATACTTCAGGTAAGGAAAAAATCAAATGCAAGAAAGCTACATAGCAAAGTTTACAGAGAAATATAGCAATACAAAAGAATGATTATGAACAAGTATATGCTAATTTAAATCCCTCCAAAATGGGTATTTTTCTGGAAATATAAGTAACCACTATATTAAGTATTACTATAAGTAACCAACACTATTTTAAAAACAAGAATGAAATTCAAAACCAAAAATACAAACAGTCCAATTAAAAAATGGGCAAAGGATGTGAATAGACCCTTCTCCAAAGAGGACACACAGATGGCCAATAGACATATGAAAAGATGCTTAATGTCACTAATCATCAGAGAAATGCAAATTAAAACCACAATGAGATATTACCTCACACCTGTCAGAATGGCTATCTTCAATAAATCAGCAAATATCAAGTGCTGGCGAGGATGTGGAGAAAAGGGAACCCTCGTGCACTGTTAGTGGGAATGCAGACTGGTGCAGCCACTGTGGAAAGCAGTATGGAGATACCTAAAAAATTAAAAATGGAACTTCCTTATGACCCAGTGATTCCACTTCTGGGAATTTATTTGAAGAAACCTGAAACACTAATTAAAAAGAATATATGTACTCCTCTGTTCTTTGCAGTGTTATTTACAGTAGTCAAGATTTGGAAGCAGCCCAAGTGTCCATCAGTAGAGAGTGGACAAAACAGCCATAGTACATGTCACAATGGGATAGTACTTGGCTGTAAAATAGAAGAAAATCTTACCCTTAGCAAGAACATGGATGGACTTGGAGAACATTGTGCTAAGTGAAATAAGCCCGTCAGAGAAATATAAATGCCATATGATTTCACTCATATGTGGAATGTAATGAACGAACTGAACTAACAAGCAAAACAGAGACCGGCTCATAGATAGAAGGCAGGGTGACAGCTCTGGGGAGGGGGTAAAGGTGAGGGGAGTGGAGGAACTAAGCAAAAAAGAAAAAAAGAGAGAGAAGGAACCAGCAGAAGACCTCTGGTCAAGATGGTGGCATAGAGAGACAAGGCTCACCTCTTCGCACAACCACATCAAAATTGTAACTAAAATATAAAACAACTCAAACTCAGAACCATCAGAAATTGAATTGAATGAAAGTCTGACAACTATGGAATTAAAGAAACCACATCCATTCAGACTCGTAGGAGAGGCACACATGTGAAATAGGCTGGTCCTCACCCACATATGGCAGATAAAAATTCGGGAGGGATATCTTAGGAATGAGGAGTCCCAGCCCCAAATAGTACCCCCAGCCCAGGGTTCCAGTGCCAGGAAGATAAGTTTCCAAAGGTTCTGGCTGCAAAAACCAGTGGGAGTTGAGTCGATGGAAGAAAATGCTGGAACTCCATGCAGTACCCCTGAAACAGCCCATACACAGACTCACATACTCTGATTCACGCTCTGAGCACTAGCCCTCCGGTACTTTGAAAAGCACCAGTGGTATACAGGGAGAAGCTGCAGTATCTGATATCAAGGGGAGCAGAGGCCATTGTCCCTTTTCTAAACCCTCCCCCAAAGAGCTGGCAAGCGGGTGCCATATTTGAGACTCCATCAACTTGGCTAACACTGTTTGAGCTGCTCTGGAGATCCCCAGAGACTCTGCCCCAACCAATTTATGATCCCATCAAAGCTGCTTTTCCATATAAAAGACTGGTCTTGGATCATGCCTCAAAACTTCCCAAATCCTATCAAACAAGCAATAGCTGGCCTCAGTGAGCCCCAGGCCAGGCACTAGCAGCAGCCAGCCTAGATTTACAGCTTGGCTTCCCCTGGGAATCTCCAAGCCCAGCACAAGTAGCAGCCATCTCAGATTGCTTTATAGCTCAGATAGGGTGGCCCAGAGCAAAACACAGGTGAGGGCTGACCTTGGTCTGCACCACCAAGGGCACCGCAGGGCCAGTGCACCCAGTAGACATCTACAGACCACGTCGGAGCACCACCACCCTGCCCCTGCACAGCTGATCCTCCATGGAGGGTGGAGGTTGGTGATCAGTAGTCACAGCCAATCCTTGTAGCTGAATAGCCTGGGTAAATCCCTCCCATTGATCTGCCAACAGCAACCAAAGCTCAACCACAAGAATAGGGTGTACCCAAAGCACATGAAGGGCTCACCTTGAGTATCCAGCTTGGGTGACAGGGGAGGCTGTGCCTCTGGACCCTACAGGCATCTACTACATTAGTCCATACTACCAAGATACAGAGTTAAAACAGCTCTACCTAATACATAGAAACAAACACTGGAAGGCTGCCAAAATGAGGAGACAAAGAAACATGGCCCAAATGAAAGAACAGATCAAAATTCCAGGAAAATGAACTAGACAAAACGGAGATAAACAATCTGTCAGATGCAGAGGTCAAAACACTGTTTATAAGGATGCTCAAGGAACTTAGTGAGGACCTCAACAGCATTAAAAAGGCCCAGTCAGAAACAAAGGATACATTAATTGAAATAAAGAATAGTTTATAGGGAAAGAACAGTAGAGTGGGTGAAGCCAAGAATCAAATCAATGATTTGGAACATAGAGAAGTGAAAAACAACCAATCAGAACAACAAGAAAGAAAAAGAATCCAGAAAATGAAGATAGTGTAAGCATCCTCTGGAACAACTACAGGTGTTCCAACATTCAAATAATAAGGGTGCCAGAAGGGGGAGAGAAAGAGCAAGAAGTTGGAAATCTATTTTAAAAAATAGTGAAAGAAAACTTAACTTGGTAAAGAAAAAAGTCCAGGAAGCACAGAGACTCACACATAAGATGGATGCAAAGAGGCCCATTCCAAGATGCATAATAATTAAAATGTCAAAGGTTAAAGATAAAGAGAGAATCTTGAAAGCAGCAAGGAGAAAAGAAGTTAGCTATCTACAGGGCAGTTCCCATAAGACTGTCAGCTGATTTCTCAAAAGAAACTTTGCAAGCTAGAAGGGATTGACAAGAAATATTCAACGTCACGAAAAGCAGGGACCTACAGCCTACATTGCTCTACCCAGCACAGTTGTCATTTAGAAGTGAAGGGCAGATAAAGAGGTTCCCAGTCAAAAAAATATTAAAGGAGTTCATCATCACCAAACCATTGATATATGAAATGTTAAAGGAACTTACTTAAGAAAAAGAAAAATTCAAAAATATGGGAGGGGATATGGAGGAAAGGATGAAGAGGCGAGGGGATAAGAAGTATCCATAGGTAGTTAGAGAATAGCTATGGGGATGTGAAGTACAGTATAGGAAATGGAGTAGCGAAAGAGCTTGTACATATGACCCATAGGCATGAACAATGGTGGGGGGATTGCCTGAGGGAGTGGGGGGTGCTGGGTGGAGTGGTGGTAAAAGGGGAAAAATCAGGACAACTGTAATTAGTTGAAATTATCAGTAAATTATCATAATCAGTAAAATATAATTTAAAAAAAAGAACTCATGGACAAAGACAACAGTGTTGCGATTCCAGAGGTTGGGTGGATGGAGATGGAAGAGTGCATGGGCGGTGGGTATAAAAGGTGATGGAAAAAATAAAATAAAGTAAAATTCTTAAATGGACCAGTTACTAAAGAACTGGAGAATGCTATCATTATTCTCAGCTTCCATTCCACTTCTCACCTCCAAACAACATAGATGCTTTATAGATGAATAATCTTTAAAATTAAAGTAACGTATAGTTCCATGCTACATAAACTGTGTCTGAATATAGAGAATAGTTGCAAACTACACAACTTAAAA